CTGGCCTCGAACTCACAGAGATCCGCCTGCCTCTGCCTCCCGAGTGCTGGGATTAAAGGCGTGCGCCACCACCGCCCGGCTCACTTAGAGTTTATTAACTACACAGCTTAGTTTTGCCTGTGTTTGAAGTTTGTGTATGTGATGTCATTCTCTTTTCAAGTCCTACTTAACTCTGTGTGTGTGTGTGTGTCTGTCTGTGTGTCTGTTGAGAAAGGGTCAATGTGGCTCTGTCTTGGAACTCACTTGTAGACCAGGCTGGCCTTGAACTCACACAGATGTGCCACCACTCCAAGCACCATTTTTTAAAAATAGGGCTTTAGTGGTATATGCATGAAGTCCCAGCACTTGGGAGGCATAGGCAGGAGGATCACAAGTTTGAAGACAGCCTGGGCTACATAGAGTTTTTGAGGCCAGATTGGGCTATATGAGACTGTCTTAAAAAATCAAACCAAACAACACTGTGTGTAAATGTTTAGATGGTCTTTCTGTAATTTGAGTTGGCCTAGAATTATGTACCCCAGGGTGGCCTTCAATTTGAGGCAATCCTCCTGCCTCAGCCTACTGAGTCCTAGGATTATAGCCATGCTCCACCATGCCTAGCTCTGCCTCACATTATATTTATGAGACTCTTCAGCTCATTCCCATCACTGTTTGCTCACACTTTTGACATCCCATTGAGGAATCACAGTGTAGTTATGATTCCATTCTACTGGTGATGGAGTTTGGGTTTGGATGCAAACTGAGGTCATTAGAACACCACTGTTATGAACATAGTTACACATGCCATTTAGTGTACCTGCCACTGAACAGATTTGTCTTTAACTTTTCTAAGTAAGTTATTTTCTTAGGTGATTATAGTGTTTTATATTCCCTGAGAGAGGAACTGTTGGTCCAAGACAGGTACATAGTCAACTTTCCATTTAAAGACCTCCAGTATTGACTTTCTCAAAGAGAAATTCCCCAATCTCTATATTATCATCAGCAGAATATGAAACATTACCATTTCACATACTGAGTAACTTTAAAAAATTACCTACGTTGTGTGTAGTTTGTGTTCTGGTGTGCTTGTGGAGGGCAGAAGACAATGTGTGAAGGCTGTTCTCTTCTTCTGCCGTGTGGGTCCTGATAATTGAACTCAGGTTGCCAGGCTTGGTGGCAGGTGCCTTTATCTTCGGAGCCATCTTATTGGCCCACTCAGTAACTTTTGCTATCTTCAGACTTGTATTTTTGACGATGGTGAGTGTGGAGTCCATCACTTAAAATATTTGCATACAATGCTACGGATGAGTCAACACTTGTTCAAATCACCATACTGGGATAGGCCTAATGGCTACTTTGCAATTTATAACTGAAGTGGTACTTGTTCTCGGAGTAGAAAACCTACATTAAATGTTCGCTACATTTCACTTTCCCATTTATATTACCTTACTAGCATTTGGAGACATTCAACAATTTTACTTTTTACTTCCCCAACTATAATAGTGGGTTTTTTTTGGTGTGTGTGTTGTGTGTGTGTGTGTGTAGGGAAGGGTGAGGTGCACATTCATGTCAAGTCTAGAATTCAACCTCAGGTGTCATTCCCCAGGCAACATTCACTTTGGTATTTGAGACAGGTTCTCTCATGTACTTGAAGCTGGCAAGGAGGCTAGGCTGCTGGCCAATGAGCCTCAGGGATCCTTCTGTCTTCATTTCCATGCTGGGGTTAAAAGAATGTGCCATCATGCCCAGCTTTTTCTTTTCTTTTCTTTTCTTTTTTTTTTTTTTTTTTTTTTTTTTGAGACAGGGCCTTATTATGTAATTCTAGATGGTTGGAACTCACTATGTAGACTACGCTGGCCTTGAACTCTTAGAGATCTGCCTGCCTCTGCCTCCTGAGTGCTAGAATTAAACTGGGCATATCCAGTTTATGCCCAGCTTTTTAATGTGGATTCTGGGTATTAAGTCCAGGTCCTCATGTTTGCAACTGAACTATTTCTCTGGACATAGTCTTCTTTTATTTGTTTAATTTATGTTTCTGAAAAGTTGGTTTCTCTTTTTCTTTCTTTCTTTCTTTTTCTTTTTTTTTTGAGAAAGGGTCTCTCTATGTAGCTCTGGCTGTCCTTGAAATCACTCTGGCTGTCCTTGAAATCACTATGTAGACTAGGCTGACCTGGAACTCACAAGAGATCTGCTTGTTTCTGCCTTCTGAGTGCTGGGGGATTTTTTTAATTTGGAAACAATACATTGAACAGGCTCTCCTGTGGCCCAGATTGGAATAGAATTTGCTATGTAGTCAAGGATCACCTTGAACTTCTGATCTTCTTGCCTCTACCTTCTGAATTCAGAGATACAGGCATGTGCCACCACACCCTGCTTGTTTGATGCTGGGTATCAAACCTAGAACTTCACACTTGCTAGGTAAGCATTCTACCAACTTAGCTACATGTCCGGCCCCTTCTCCCCCAACCTTTTTTAAAACAGGGTTTCACTGTGTAAGGCAGGTTGCCTTGGAACTGGCTTTCCTCCTATCCTAGCCACATGTCTTACTTAGGGTTTTTATTGCCGTGAAGAGTCAACATGACCACAGCAACTCTTAAAAAGGAATGAATAGAATTAGGGCTGGCTTACAATTCAGAGGTTTAGTCTATCTATTATCATCATGATGGAAAGTATGGTGGTATGCAGGCAGACACGGTGCTGGAGAAGGAGCTGAGAGTTCTATATCTAGATCCTGTTGTAGAATATTAGTCTAAGGTGTGTTACTTTTGTTTATGTTGCATTTGTTTAACTCTGTGAAGTGGTGTTACTGTGCCTATCTAAAACACCTGATGGTTTAATAAAGAACTGAATGACCAATAGCAAGGCAGGAGAAAGGATAGGTGGGGCTGGCAGGCAGAGAGAATATGTAGAAGGAGAAATCTGGGAGAAGAAAAGATCAAGGAATGAGAGAGGAAGGAGGAGGACATCAGGGGTCAGCCACCCAGCTACATAACCAGCAATGGAGTAATAAAGAAAGATATACAGGAATAGAAAAGAGAAAAGAAAAAGCCCAGAGGCAAAAGACAGACAAGTTAATTTAAGAAAAGCTGGCAAGAAACAAGCCAAGCTAAGGCCAGGCATTCATAATTAAGAATAAGCCTCTGTGTGTGATTTATTTGGGAACTGGGTGGTAGGCCTCCCAAAAGAGTAAAAAACAACAACAGGATCCAAAGGTAGCAGGAAGAGTGTTACACTGGGCCTAGCTTGAGTATTTGAAACCTCACAGCCCACCCCCAATGACACATTTCCTCCAACAAGCCCACACCAATTCCAATAAGGCCACACCTCATAATAGTACCATTCCCTATGAGCCTATGTGGGACATTTTCATTCAAACCACCACACTACCTAAGTGCTAGATTATTTACAGGCATTGCTACTTCACCCAGACCTCTAATGCTTATGTTTTTTTCCTACTCTTACCCTTGTCAAAAGTAGAGATGGCTCAGTGGTTAAGAGCACTTGCTGCTCTTACAGAGGACTGAGGTTTGGTTCCCAGAACCCACATGGCAGCTCACAACCATTGGTAATTCCAGTTCCAGAGAATTCAATGCCCTCTTCTGGCTTTCGTGGACAGTAGGCACACATGTGGTGCAGACATACAGGAAGGCAAAACACAGAAAATTATTTCAGGCAAGCCTGGGTTAAAGAGTTAAATCCTGTCTAAAAAGAAAAAATATTTCTTAAAAAAATAAAAATGATACATGTAGTTATTTTTCGAAGTCAAATTACACAAGGATTTTAAAACAGATCTGGTAACCTGCCTTCCCTGGAATTCCCAGGTTCTTGGAGCCATTTCAGCCATTAGCTTCTGTGTCTCATAGTACTCATTGTGTGTATGCCTGCATGTGTATGGACATGTTCACCATGGTGAGAATGTGGAGGTCAGAGAACAACTTTTGGCAGTTGGTCCATTCTGTCCAGCATGGTTTCTGGTGGGCTCAGGCTTGTGTGGCAAGTGCTTTTATCCAATGAGCCAACTCATCTGCTTAAGTTCAACTTCTTGAAAGTTAACAACCGAGATTTCCCACTTCATAAGGGAATTTCCATTTGTTTCTATTTTGAAATTAGGGTTTGTTTGCGTTAGGGTTTCATGTAGCCCAGGCTGGCCTTGAGTTCACTGTAAAGTTATAGCTACTCTGAACCTGATTTTTCTGCTTCTACCTTCCATGTACTGAGATTACAGGCATATACCACCATGCCCAGGCTCATTCTTCTTCCTTCTCTAACATCTTTGCTTCTTTGTGTTTATTCAACAGTAAGAATTTTTTTTTCAAGACAGGGTTTGTCTGTGTAGTTTTGGTGCCTGTCCTGGATCGTGCTCTATAGCACAGGCTGGCCTCGAACTCACAGAGATTTGCCTGGCTCTGCCTCCCAAGTGCTGGGATTAATGGCGTGTGCCACCACCGACCAGCAACAATAAGAATTTTAGTGTAAGCCAGGTATAATGGTGCATCTTTTCTCCCAGCATTTGGAAGGCAAAGGCAAGAAGATCTCTGTGAGTTTGATACTAGACGGAGATACATGAGAACTTGTCTTTAAAAAACCCCAAACTAAGCTGGGTATGGTGGTATACCTTTACTCCCAGCACTCAGGAAGCAAAGGCAAACAGTTCTCTGTGAGTTCAAAGCCAGCCTGATCTCTATAGTGATACTCTGTCTCAAAAAACCCAATATATACATGTACATGTATTAAGAATCAGGCATTATCATGCTTACATCTAGGATTCTTAGCCGCTCAAAAATCATTTAAATATATTCCTTTTCTCTATCAAATTAACAAAATATCAGTCAGAGGCAGAAGCAGAGATAGGAGGATCACTTTAAGTTTGAGGCCAGCCTGATCTACAGTAAATTCCAGGCCAAGCAGAAGTACAGAAGACCCTACCTCCAACCATACTAAACCCCAAATGAACACTTTTTACTTTAGTAGAGTGGTTTCTGATGTTGTATGTGGAAATCCTTTCATATTGGGTCAATGGCTTCATAGAATACTCAAGTTTATTGCTAAAAGGAAGTGACATGAGATGAGGCAGTCTGGTTCATTTTATCAGTGTATATCTCAAAAGATAAACATTGAGAGTAATACTTATATCTATTCTTGGTTCTCTCACTGACCACCTACACCAGCGGACCATAGACTAGTTTTTATGTGTAGAAGAATATAAACACATACAATTTTCTTATAAAGAAATGTCTTGATTTTATTCCCCCTTATGAAATAAAGGCGCTGTGAAAATACAAAAGGTGAATGCTAGTTAGTTTTCTAACATTAAATCACCTTGCTCTTAAAATGATCACATTCTATGAACAGATGTCTGCTGGCATAGCAGAATACAAGAAGGATTAATTAGCAAGTTCAAGAAGTTATACTCCAAGGAAGATCATTCTATAAAGGCTAATCATTTAAGACATTCATACATAGTGACCATTACCATGAGAACAAACCTTAAGGTAAATAGGCTTCTTGAAGGTTATTAATACAAAAAGGACTGAAGGTCCCAGTTCCTACAAAAAGCCTGATGTTGAATTTGTAGTATACATAACAAAACAGAATGAAAGGTTCTAGGGGAAAGTAAAACTTTTTTTAAACAAATCTACCTTGCTTTTTTAGGTGGAGTTGGAACCCAGGGCATTGTGAATGACAGGCAAGTATTGTTAGATTTTCTTTTACTCTAGCCCCACATTGGGTGCCACAATGTTGTTTGTTTTTGCTCTTTGACTCTTTTGGGGGTGCACCACCCAGCTCCAAATAAATCACACATGGAGGCTTATTCTTAATTATAAATGCTCAGCCTTAGCTTGGCTTGTTTCTAGCCAGCTTTTCTTAAATTATCCTGTCTACCTTTTGCCTCAGGGCTTTTATCTTTCTCTATTCCTGTATACCTTTTCTTTCCTTTTTACTCCATGTCTGGCTGTTACGTCCTCCTCCTTCCTCTCTTGTTCCCTATCTTTCTTCTTGTTCCTCCCAGATTTCTCCTTTTATTTATTCTCTCTGCCTGCCAGCCCTGCCTATCTGTTCTCTTGTCTTTCTATTGGCTGTACAGTTCTTTATTAGACCATCAGATGTTTTAGACAGGCAAAGTAACACAGCTTCACAGAGTAAAACAAATGCAACATAAAATAATGCAGCACATCTTTGCATCATTAAACAAATGTTCCAGAGCATAAACAAATGTAATACACCTTAAAGTAATATTCTACAACAGGCAAGTGCCCACCACATCCCTAGTCCTGCACAGTGTTTCTTAACGTCGAATTGGGTGATGTTTATGTCATTCAAGTGAACTTAATTATTTCAGCTTTTGGCTTTCAGACAGAATTTTAGAAAATATCTGACAAGAAAATAGTTTTGAAAGTGCTTTCTCTTGCGTTCTTTGGTATAATTTGGTCATTCTGATAGTAATTAAGCCATTAAGTAAGTACTTTAACCATGTAACAACAAAAAGGCAATGAGCATATATGCTTAGAAAATCATGGCTAAAGAAAAATATTGCCAACCTTGTGGAAAACAAACTCTAGTATTTTACTTGTGTTTCTGTGGCATAGCTAGCTCTGCTGCCTATAACAACATTGCTAATTTGATTTATATGAAATGTTACATACAATATCCTGTTATTTTTGATTATTACAACAGCTGTTTTGCATACTTTATAAGAGGCAAGTTTTAGCTTGAAAAAAAATAATTTCAAATTGCATAAAGTTCATTATTTATTTTTTTGTGCCTTCTGATTCAGCGAGCATCAAAGTGTAATGTCAGCACAATGTTAAGAATTGGTTTGGGACTAGTTTTCCTCCTGCAGCATCTTTTCAATTTCTTTATCCCAGTTTTCATCTCGCTTCTCAGACTCTGCTACCACTTCATACTCCTGAAGCTCCTGTTGTAGTTCCTTTTCCCAATCGGCAGAATCTTCTACAGAAAACAAAGGGAGAGGCAAAGAAAGGTGCTTTTTGAACTTGTAATACTTGTGGTAACAATTCACTCAACTGTAATACTTGACACAAGGCCTAGCCATTTTTTTCTTTGTAGTACCAGGCATGGGAACCTAGGGCCTCAGACATTGCTAGGCAAGCACTCTACTATTAAGCTACATTTCCAGCCCCCATTTCCTCCTCATTTTAAAACGTGTGTGTGTGTGTGTGTGTGTGTGTGTGTGTGTGTGTGTGTGTAAGCACAGGTATACAAGTGTCACAAGGTTATGTGTGGAGGTCAGAGGATATTTTCCAGGATTTTGTTCTCTCTTCCTACCATGTGGGTCCTAAGAATCTAACTCAGTGAGCATGGTTACCTGCTGAGCCATCTCTCTGGCCCTTGTCTTTGAGACAGAGCATCGTGTATCCCAGGCTGGCCTCCAACACAATTCTGGCTGAGGATGATCCTGAATTTCTAATCCTCTGCTTCTACTACCTTAGTGTTGAGATTACAGGTGTGGCCACCATGCCCAGTTTTATCATGTGCCTGGTATTGAACACAGCACCTTGAATTCAGTATGCAGAAGCTAAGGCAGATATTGCAGAGTGTTATAAAAATAAAACAAAACATGGCTATTTAAAAAGGAAGGTGAGACAGCATGGTGGGATACCTGTAATCCCAGTACTCAGGAGGTGGAGAGGCAGGAGGTCAAGGCCAACAGGCTACACAGGTGCTAAGTAAGCATTCTACCAACTGAGCCACACTAAAGCCCTGTTTTGTATTTTGGGGGTAGGGTCTTCGATGTAATCCAGACTGACCTGGCCCTTTGAATGTAGCCTAGGCAATCCTTTCCCTACCTCCCAAGTGCTGAGATTACATGTGTGCACTGCCACATCTGCTCTATATTGATATTATTATCCTTATAATAATCCTTGGACAAGATCTCACTACTATCCATACCTTAGAGATGTGTGGAAACAGAGACTTAAGAGGGATTATGCAACTTGCTCAAAACAGGGCTTTTGACAGAGACAAACCCATAGACTCCACAGCCTGTGCTTAACCACTATACCAGAAAAGATCCAGTCTCTCCAGATAGTGGTAACAGACACCAGCATCCAAAGCCAGGTGATCTCTCCCAGAAGCCTGGTCTCTGTGGAACTTACCTAGAGTTCTCATATCAGTCCTCTACACTAAGACTTAGAGCTGAACCCTTCCACTCACACACTCATTTTACCTGTGTGTCTTTGCACACACTTATTGAAAGTATGTGGAAGATAAGGCAGATACTGTAGAGTGTTAGAAAAAAATGAGTAAACAAAACATGGCCATTAAAAAAGGTGAGGCAGCATGGTGTGTTACCTGTAATCTCAGCACACAGTGAGGTGGAGAGACAAGAGGTCAAGGCCAGCGGACTGGACAGTGAGACTGAAACCAAACTGGGCTACATGAGAACCTGTCTCAAACAACACAAAGCTAGGGTTGGGGATAAGTGAGGCATAGCAAACCTGCCTAGTATATGCAAAGCCCTGGGTTCAATCCCCACCACTGTATAAAATGTAAAGCTACAATTCATTTTCAGGTTGTTTTTGAGACAGATATCACTATAATGCTCTGGCTGGCCTGGAACTAACCATATAACTCAGGATGGCTTCAAATTCATATCAGCTCTGCCTTACCTTTCTAAGTGCTAGGATTAGAGGGGTGTATACTACCACGCCTAGTTTGTTGACTGGCTTCATTATTTTTCTGAGACAGGGTCTCATGTGGTCAAGACTGTCCTCAAACTTCTGATCTTTCTGTCTCTACCTCCCGAATACTGGGATTACAAGTGTGCATTACCATGTATGGTTTTGTATGGTGCTGGGGATTGAAATCAGGGCCTCATGCAGGCTAGGTGAGCACTCTACCAATTGAGTTACATCCCCAGCCTCTGTCTACTGACTTTAAAATGAGATTGGAATTAGGAAAAAAGAACAAAGCCACTGTGTGTGTGTTACCTTCTAGTGCAATTGTTTCCACTTGCTTTTTATCAAGTACAAGTTGCTCCATTTCTTTTCTTAAATCCTCCTGATTTAAGTTGCAGGCATCGAAGGCATCACTGACAAACTCAGAAACCCCTGGGCTGGTAGAGATTTCCTCCTCATCCTGAAATGCAACCAAAGAGCTCTTGGAATGGCTTCTAAGTGACACCTATGTCTCATAATTTAACACAGCCTCATTTTTTTGTTCTTCTCTGCTAGCTGTAAGACAATGCTTCTGCTCTCCAACCTTCTAACTGGCAGTTGCTTGGTAACAGAGTGAGTTACCACCTGAGGCTATTATTCTCCCTCACTGTTTAGATCACTCAAACCATTTTCTCTGATTCCTGATGAGCACATCTAGAATTATTTATGCCAGGAAATCACCTCAGCTCTCAGCTATAGGCCCTTGACTATTCAAGTACTGGACTCCTCATCTTGCAGACATAAGACTGACACTCTCAAGCAGTTTTAAATGGTATCAGAGATAGTTAACTTCATTTTCAGACATCATTTACTAGGTATAACGTAAAACTGTATTACCTCTTGAGTTTTAAGCTGAGATTTGATTACGACAGGTGGTGTTTTGGGCCGTACTGCCTCTATGAAGTGAGAATAAAAGAGACAATAATTGCTTGATTTAATTCTGAATGCATATCATAAGAACAGCTAAAATATCCACAGATATGATGTTAAATCATTTTCAGAAATGAGCTTTTATTGTATATTTTTAGCTCCCTTGAAGTTATGATATGACATAGCCAGGCACAACCATGTGAACCTCCTACTTTGAGTGTCCTTTTGTTTTTATCTATTTAGACATAGGATCTCATTATGTAGCCCTGACTACCCTGGAACTCACAGAGATCCACATGCCTCTGTCTCTTGAGTGCTGGGATTAAATATGTGCACCACCATGCCAGGCAGGCATGCCATTTTAAATCCGCAATCATATTCAATATCCTTATATGGAATTTCCATTAAGAATTATCTTTGGACTTCAGTGTAAGCAAAATTGATTCTCGTTTTCTTTTAGGATACTAAGAATGAAGCTATTTATCAAGTTTCCTTGAAGCTGTTACCAACCTGGTTAGAAAGCACAAAGGAAAATACAATGCCTCATCTTAGCATTCTGCTGGTTATCCTATAAAGATTTAATTGTCTGTGTGTGGCTGAGTGTGGGTATGTGTACCTGCATGTGGTGTCTTCAGAGGCCAAAAGAGGGTGTTGAATCCCCTGGTGCTGGAGTTACAGGCAATGTGAGCTGACTAATCTGGGTATTGGGGACTGAACTTGAATCCTCTGTAAGAGCAACACTCACTCTTAACTGCTGAGCCACCTCTCCACCCCTTCTGCTCTTTATCGTATTAACCATGCTGACAGTCTTATTGAATTACTTTTAAGTCCATTTTGTTAAACAGGCAGTCTTTGGGAAAATAGCTTTCTTTTTTTTCTTTTTCAGCAGTGCTGGGTATTGAACGTATTATTATCTGCACATATGCTAGGTAAGTGCTCTACCACTGAGCTATATTCCCAGCCCAGCACTTCCCAATAACATTAATTTAAGGAAGCCAGGAATGGTAGCCCACGCCTGTAATCTTAGCATTTCAGGAGCAGAGAAGGAGGATGGCTTAGGAGTTTAACACTAGCTGGGGTTACACAGTGAAACCCTGTTTCAAAAAGCTATCCTCTAAAAACAAACAAACAAACAAACAAACAAACAAACAAACAAACCATAATTTAAGGATATGCTAAAGAACGAAAGTTTGCTGGGATTCATACCTATATGCAACTTGACCTTGAGTGTAGTTTCAGAGCCTCTCCTAGTAGTCTGTACAACCTGTGTCTTATGACATACTTAGCTAAAATTCCACAAACTAAATTGCTCCACTTATCAGATGATTCTATTGGTAATTAGAACATATCTATACACATAGCAGGCACTCATGAAAAATGGAAAAAAATAGAAGGGCTCTGGATATAGCTCAGTAGAGTTCCTGCTTAGTATGTACAAGGCACAGGGATCCATTCTAGTGCCATAAAATAAATATATAAAATATTATACAATCTATCTATCTATCTATCTATCTATCTATCTATCTATCTATCTATCTATTTTTGAGACAGGGTCTTACTATATATGTCAGGTCAGTCTGGAATTCCAAGATGGCCTCCAACTCAGAGATCTGACTGCCTCTGCCTTCAGGGATTAAAGGTGCCTGCAATCACGCCCAGCTTTATTTTTATTTATGTCTGAGTACCCATGGAAGTCAGAAAAGGGTGTCAGATCCCCTGCAACTCGAGGTACAAGGGACTGGAAGCCATCCATGTGGGTGCTGGGAACCGAATCTGGGTCCTTTGGAAGAGCAGGAAGTGCTCTTAATTGCCAAGTCAACTCTTCAACCCTACATTAATATCATATAATAGTTCATCAAATAGTTGCTTATATTATAAAACTTGTTCCCTAGCAAACAGGGGTAATACATCACAGGAGGAAAGTGCCAAATGTTTAATAGCTTAGCTCAGAGCTAGATACTTGTTATTGGACTAGAATAAGAGCTACTGTACTCTACAACTGTAAGTCCTAAGGAAATTGGGATAAATAGAAGTCTGAGAAACATCTGGCCTTGGTAGCGCATGCCTGTAACCCTAGCACTTGAGATGTGTAGGCAGGAGGATCAGGAGCTCAAGGCCAGCCTGAACTACATGAGACCCCCCAAACAAAACAAAGCCCAAAGGGGCAAGAAAAGAGAAGTAGAGAAGAAGATTGCTGTTCAAGAGTAATAAAAAGCAAAAAGAAGCCTGTTGGTGGTAGTGTACACCTTTAGTCCCAGCACTCGGTATGCAGAGGCAGGTGGTTCTCTGAGTTCAAGGCCTGCCTGGTCTATAGAGGAAGTTCCAGAACAGCCAGGGCTATGCAGAGAAAGCCTGTCTTGAAAAAACAAACAAAAAAGAACCAAGAATGAGACAGCAAAAGAACATTTGGGGAAGACACATGTAAGCTGGGTCAGGAAGGGCAGCAAAGAAAATTTCCCTTAAAAAGAAAATTTTTCTGTTCAGAGATGTCAACATTTTTGATGCATACAAGATGACAAGAGCTCATTAGCATCTCTAAGCAGGAATATTTTACATCAATTCTTTTCTTCCAGAATGATCTCTTTTCCCCGGAATGTACCTGTCAGTGGCAAATCATCTTCTCTGCTGCTTTTCTCTTCCTTTCCAGAAGCTTGCTGCTGGGCGGCCAGTGCTGTGAGTTGGGCCGACTGCTTAATCAGGGAGATGCGGTAGAAGTAGTTCCTCCAGAATACTTCTTCCTTTACACTTTGATAGACAGTGACATGTGGGAGGGCACACAGGTTAGTATAGCAAAGCCTACAGTGGACCGTTATTTATTTGCCTCTGGGGAGGTAGGGTTTCCTGTGTGCCAGGCAAGCCAGCACTCTACTACCAAGCTAAAGCTCCAGCCCCTGAGCGCTTTCCATCCTTGTGAAGGCCAAAGGAAATGGTCATTTGCTTTACAAGCGAGAGCTAAATAACAGGGTAAGCTGAACTATATTCTCCACAGCAGCAAGAGATGAGTTATATAACGCTCATAAACTATCAGTATTTCTTGGTGCTTTTATTTATCTTTTCTTTTGTTTGTTTTTGTTTTTCGAGACAGGATTTCTCTGTGTAGCTTTGGAGCCTATCCTGGAACTCACTCTGTAGACCAGGCTGGCCTCGAACTCACAGAGATCCACCTGGCTCTGCCTCCCGAGTGCTGGGATTAAAGGTATGTACCACCACTACCAGGCTTGCTTTTATTTATCTTATTAATTTTATTCTATGTGTACAGGTGTTTTGCCTGCATGTATATCTGTGCACGACACATGTGCAAAGCCCATGGAGGCCAAAAGAGGGCATTGGATCCCCCTGGAAGTAGAGTTACAGACTGTTGTGAGCTACCATGTAGATGCTAGAAATTGAATCTGGGTTGTCTGGAAGGGCAGACAGTGTTCTTGACCGCTGAGCCATCTCTCTAATCCCTTTCTAAAAATTAACGTTTATATGTGCATGCTGCAGGATCCATAGGACAACTTTCAGGAGTTCACTTTTTCTGCCATGTGGGGCTTGAACTCATGTGGTTTGGCAGCAAGTGCCTTTACCTGCCGAACTATATCAGTGGCCCCCTATTTCCTAGTATTTTATTATATAGATTTGATCCTTGACAGAAGGAAACAACGCATTAGTGTGTAGCAGTGTGACTAACCAGGGGGACTATGAGTCCTTTCCTGTTTTCTAAAGGATTATATGCTTTTAGGCAGTGGGAAGAAACCACTGTGAATGTTGTTCTTTTTTGTTTTCTACTTTTCATGTGTTTGTATGTGTGGGTATATATGTCTGAATGTGTGTGAGCACATATATACACGTGTATGTGGAAGATCAATCTTGAATATGGGAAACCATCCTCAACTGTTCTTCTACTTTATTATGTATTGAGGTAGGATCTCTCAATCAAACCTTGAGCTCATTGATACAGCCAGTCTAGATATGGATAGTCTGTCTGGTCAGCTGGCTCCAGGATCCCGTGTCTTCTTTGCAAGGTTGGGCCACACCCACCTGGCATCTACATGGATTCTGAGCATTTGAATTCCAGTCCTCATGATTGCCAGGCAAGTGTTTAACTGATGAGCCATCTCCCCAGCCCTTGCTTGTTTTTTTAAGATTGAGTCTCATGTATCACAGACTGGCTTCAAACTCATTACATAGCTAAGGTTGACCTTGAACTCCTGATCCTCCTGCCTCCATCACTCAAGTGCTACAATTACAGGTATTTGATACCACACCTGGCTTGATGTTATTCCTTAGGAAATACACCAGCTGGCAGCTTGCTAAAGTAGCTAGAAACTAGTAGAAACAGAATGAGAGATGGTTATAACAGCTTTGGGTGTTGGGCAGAATTGGGGATAGAGCCCAGGGCTTTGTAAAAACTAGGCAAGCACTCTACTACCAAATTACACCCACAACCACCTGGGAGATGGTTGATAAAGACAAGTTCTATTCAACCTGAGAACTGACAGTGGTCCTCAAATGTGGTTGCATATTGGACTTGCCTGGCTTAAGGCATTGGTGCCAAGTGGAGTATGGTGGGTACACACAATAGGTGGCCTAGAAAGGGCAGTAAGAATCAAGCAGAAAGAGAGTGGTGTCTGAGTGGGGGACGAAGGGGAATCAGAAATGAGAGCTTAGTGACATGCAGGGGATTGAAAAAATAAAAAACATTAAAGGTCACAGAACCAGGCTTCTCACTGCCAGAGCAGGGAGTTACAAACACAGCAGAAGAAAATGAGAGTGATCTTTATTGGAAGGTATCCCTGTGAATACAGTATTCATTCCACGGAGACACAGATGAGCATGTGTATACCTCCTAGTGGCATCCTCTCCTGGTGAGAAGTAACACCCTAATGGTGCTCAGTTCTTGCTTTCTAAATGTCATTTTCTGAAAACCATCATTATATTTAATTAATATATGCTAATAAGGATGAATAAAATTTCATTTTTCACTAAAAGGTGCCAGCACTTTCTGAATAAATGGTGGATCCCAGGGTTAGAGAAAGGTAAAAATGAGCTTGGAGCTTGGTGTGGTGGCGCATGCCTTTAATCCCAGCACTCAGGAGGCAGAGGCAGGCAGGTGATCTCTGAGTTTGAGGCTAGCCTGGTCTATGTAGAGAGTTTCAGGACAACCAGGGATACAGGATACATAGTGTGACCCTGTCTCAAACAAAACCACCACCAAAGGATACAGATTAAGTTTTGCTGGGCTCCCACTTGTCAAAGTGATGATGATTTGAGCATCAAAATAACAACATATTACAACCCACTGCATCAAATGCATGAGACTATATGGATATAAATACAAGAATATATGGAAAATTTGATGATGAATAGAATGAAGTTTCAAAGTTCCATCAGGTAAAGGTACTTGTCATATAAACCTGGTGACCTGAATTTGATTCCCAGAACCCATGTAAAGGTGGAAGGAAAGAATTAACTCCATAAAATTATTCTCTAACCAAGACACTTGTACTCATATACACACACTGGGCATGCGCACACACACACACACACACACACACACACACACACACACACACACACAATAAATGAATTACAAATGGTCTTTGTATTGCATTCAAATCTAACTTTTCATTGTTTCAAAATAATTTTTAAAAATTGATGACTGTTCTCTCAAATTATAATCTCTAGTTTGGAAGACAAACCTAAACCAAATCAAGGGTGTACATTTGGGGATGGAGCACAGTTGGTAGTCCTTGCTTAGCCTGGCAGGCACAAAGCCCTGGGTTCTAACCCCAGCACCATATAAGCCGGACATGGTGGCCTAAGTCTGTAATCCCAGAACTTCAGGGTAAAGGCAGGGGAATCAGAAGTTCAAGGTCATCCTCCATTATATATAGCATTCCAGACCAGTATGGAATACATGAGAACCTGTTGCCAACCAACCACATAAAAACAAAAACAAGCCATCATAAACAAATATGGAGCTTCTAAGACTTTTCTTCTCTGAGTGTCCTTCTGATCATCTTGGATATTCTTTCTGAACCAACGGTCACTATCTAGGGACACTTTAGAAATTGAAGGACTGGCCTTATATTTTGAAATGTCCATTAGTATGTCAGCACTTCCTTACGGCAGCCTGAACCCAGCCAGTGCCCTGCTGCTGTGTCACAGATACACTTTGAAGCCCCCTGATAGCAGGGGAGAAACTATCAGTCTTTTCCAGCCACAGGCTGACATATGCCCAGTGTTCGCATAGGATGTCCACAGGCTTCTAATGCCTCAAATGCAACACAAAAGCAAAATAGATTCGTGTTTGGGAGCTACAGCTGTGCCCAGTAGGTTTCTTTATCAGAGGACTTTTTGGAACCTTTACAATGTCATCTGGAGTGTGATTCTTCCCCCAGAGGGTGATGCACAAGTTTTCTGCAATGTGCCTGCCTCTTACATCAAGAGGGAGGGAGTCTGGCAAAGAAAGAAATCCAAATGGTTGTTTTTGTTCATCAACAGAGCAAACAGCCCATGAGTCACCACAGAGACATTAGTACACCCAAGGTTCATTCATGTGAGATGTTTCACAGAGCTCAGAAATAAAAGGCCTTGAAGATACTTAGGCAGCCCACTTCCTCACAACTTTTTCCCTTCGAGACAGAGTTTCACTTGGCCTGTAACACAAGCTTTGCCTGGAACCTACTATATAGCCTAGACTGGCCTCAAACTAGCAGCAGTCTTCTTGTCTCAGCCTCATAAATGCTCAGATTATAGGTATGTGTTAGCACACTTAGCTGCATTTTCACTTTTGCCTGGCTCTGATGTTTTGACTTAAGAGCCTGGGACTTACAAGGTAAACAGGCCCAATTAGTTCTCCCAAGTCTCAGTTTCTTTCTACCATGTAGCCCCGAGGACTTAACTCAGGTCCTCAATCTTGGCAGCAAGTGCCTTTACCCACTGAACCATCTCACCAGCTCAAGCTAGATTTTTTTAAATAAATTATTTTATTTGAGCCAGGCGGTGGTGGCACACACCTTTAATCCCAGCACTCGGGAGGCAGAGGCAGGCGAATCTCTGAGTTTGAGGCCAGCCTGGTCTATAGAGTGAGTTCCAGGACAGCCAGAGCTACACAGAGAAACCCTCTCTCAAAAAAAATTTTATTTGAATGGATACTTTGCCTGCATGTATGTTTGTGTAGCATGTATATGTCTGTGCCCACAGAAGCCAGAAGGCATGAAATCCCCTGGAATCAGAGTTACAGATGGTTCTAAGTCACCATGTGGGTACAGGGAATCAAACCTGGGTCCCCTGGAAGCACAGTCAGTGCTCCTAACCACTGAGTTATCTTTCTAGTCTCCAAAGCTAGACTTTTTATAGGGCTGGTCTCCAACTCTCTATCTTCAGCCTCCTGAGTATTAGGATGATAGGGGTGCCACACCATGCCCAGTTAGAAATAATTCTTGTGACCATCCTTTAAAACAGTAAGTCAATTCCTAGGGTTTTGTGAGCATATGCAGTAGAGGAGTAGATGGTACATTTCTTTATATCCTCAACTATAAATAGCTATTTTAGCTACAGTCTAAAGATAAAATTTGTAATGTGATTTTAGCTATATTATATATACTTTTCTTTTGGAAGAGAGATGTAAAACTGTAGAAATTGATCTTAGCACTTAGATTGTGGAGTAAGTTGGAGGAAGGAGGATCAAAAGTTCAGAGTCATCCTTGACTGATTCCATAGCAAGATTGAAGACAGCCTGGTATATAGAAAAACAAGTCTGAAAAGAAAGGATGGTTGTGATGACTCATGCCTCCATCTCAGCACCTAGCACATGGGAGGATGAAGCAGGAGGTCCCTGAAAGATTGAGGCTGGCTAGCCTGGTCAATAACACAGTCTCAGGCCAGCCAGGATAACTTGGTAAGACTGTCTCGAGTGGTATGTGCTTGTAAACCCAGCTTTTGGGAGGTGAAGGTAGGAGATCAGGCATTCATGGTCATCTTCAGCTACATATGGTATCTGAGGCCAATCTGGGTCATATGAAAGCCTGTCTCAAAAACAAAAACAAAACAAAGCCAAACAACAATAAAAAGGAATTTGCCACCAGTATTTTGATAGTTATGGAGAGAAGAGTTTTACTATAGAGGAAAACACAAAGAAAAGGTTCTATATAACTGTCTTCCCGAGACTAGAAGAACTTTGCCAAAGTAGTATTCTCTTTTTTTTTGTTGTTGTTGTTTTTCGAGACAGGGTTTCTCCATGTAGCTTTGCGCCTTTCCTGGAACTCGCTTGGTAGCCCAGGCTGGCCTCGAACTCACAGAGATCTGCCTGGCTCTGCCTCCCGAGTGCTAGGATTAAAGGCGTGCGCCACCACCACCTGGTGTAGTATTCTCATATAGACAAAAGACCCGAGCTGTCATATGGTCCCAAGGACTATGAAATGTTTGTCAAAATCCCTATGTGGTCAGCTAAACATTGCATAATGAACATGAGCTCATGTATAGTCCCTCTGAAAACACCCTAGAAATCACAGAAGAGGAACTGCATAGATAAATCCTATAGACAGTGGAAGCCGAAAAGTCAACAGGCAAACAAAAATGTACTGTGTGGAGTTGTGTTACCCATGTGATGGGTGGCCAGCAAGAAGCAGGCCTGCAGACAGGTCCTGGAACAAATGCCACAGGTGCCTGTGAGGAGTGGAGAGATGGTTCTGTTCTCTCCCAGATTGCCCTGCCCTTCCCATGAGATAAATCCTAACTGTTTCCTATGTGGGGTACAGGCTCGCCTGGTACAATTGAGACTGGGGCTATGATGCCATACTAAAGCTACAGGGCACAGCCTGCACACAGGTTGGTGTCAGGCCAGGCCCTTCTTGTGTTGCCTGCAGCTGGCCAGGAGGTTGAAGAGTCCTCTAGCAGGGAAGCTACCTACTTACAGCTAGTTAAGTCTCTCCAGCCATAGAAGCCCATCATCAATACAGCATCATTACTGCAAAAGACAAGGGAAGGAAGCCTGCAACCAGAAGGCAGAGTCCCAGAAAGTTTCTGAGGAAAGTGCACAGAAAGACATTTTGAGAGAACTATAAATTGTACCCCTCTGGGAACAGGAAGATTTTGCAACCATGAAACAAGAATAAGAGCATTCTAAAAAGGGGACTCTCATAAAGTAAGGAAAAATGCCAGCTTTATTTGTTTGTTTTGATATTATGTTTTTGGACAGGGTCTCACTCTATAGCTTAGGCTGGCCTGGGACTCACTATATAAGCCAGACTGTCCTCAAACTCATAGTGATTCTTCTGCCTCAACCTCCTGAGTACTGGGATAACAAGTCACAATGTCCGCCTTTATTTTGCTTAGAAACAGGGTTTCCCACTTATGACCCAGGCTGGTCTCTCCTCTCACCATCCTCCTGCCTCTGCCTCCCAAGTGCTAGGATTATAGTCCTGAGCCAAGCCCTGTTTGGAAATCTGACTTCAAAAAATATGAACAAAATAAAGAGCAGTGACAATCATAATCATCATAATAAAAACCAGGCCTGGTAGCTCAGGCCTGTAAACCTAGTTACTTGAGAGCCTGAAACAGGAGGATTGAAATTTCAAGGCCTGCTGAGGATATGGAGTGACTTCAAGACCAGCTAGTAAGACCCTGTGTTAAAAAGTCAAAAAGAGGTCTGGGGATGTATTTCAGTGTTTAAACATTGCCTGGTGTGAGCCAGGTCCTAAATTCAGTTTCCAGTACTGCAAACACAACAACAAAAACCCTGCATGAGAGTCAGAGGTAGACAAAGCCACAGGGATACTGCAGAAAGGAAGGCCGCCCTCTGCTGGCAGGCTGATGGCAAAGCCTCACGGACTACTGCTTGTGCTCGAGCTTAAAGGGTAACTGGGATTTTATGAGTAGGGAAGGGCCTTTCTTTGGTGGAAGAAAAACCACAGGAAAGAACAGAACACAGCTGCTGCAAGCTGCTGCAGAGCCTGAATACAAAACACTGGATTTTTGGGAAAGGCAAGGGGCCTTTACAGATCTGATTTTATCTGGGTCTATGTGTCATTTCTGAAGGAAACATGTTCTACCTTAACTTGGCCAAAGAGCACATATCCTTCCCATTCTGACTTTACCTGCCAAGTCTGCCCTCCCTTTCTATTTTGGGGCATGCTGCCAAGTACACAGGGTCTCTGAAGGGCTACAGGGCCTGTTTGGATGAACAGATAGCATCAAGAGGGTTCTGGCACTGTGCATATAACTAGAGCCCTTAGGAAACTGAAATCTCTGAGCAGTGTCTGACTAAGAACACGGTGCTTACAGTTTAGGAACAAGGGCAAATCTCATCTTGCTTAGTAGCTCATCTTCTTGGAGCATGACCAGGGCGACAGGGTACATCTGATCAAAATCAAAGTTAAACTGCACACCAGCTGGTGGGTCACGAAGGAAATTCCTCTTGTCCTGTGGTGAAAAATGGAGGCAAAAATTGGTGGGGGGGAATCACAAAATGCAATTAATAGGTTATAATGTATCATGGATTTGATATACTTATTTTTTTTTTTTTGAGACAGGGTTTCTCTATGTAGCACTGGCTTTCCTGGAACTCACTCTGTAGACCAGGCTGGCCTCAAACTCAGAGGTCCACCTGTCATTACCTCCTGAGTGCTGGGATTAAAGGTGCGCACCACTAAATTTTTACCAAACCCTCAGTCACAAGGTCCACTGAGCTGCCACTGACTTGCTCACTTAAAAGAGAAAGAACAATCCATCCTTCCATGTTTTTTGTAACATTTACTTGGACAGCGGCTCCCAGGAGGCCAGATGGTTCACTCAATTGGTTGAAATCACATAATTAAAAATCATATAAACGTGTTTATTTTTATTAGACACCTTTAGGTATGTGAAAGCTATTAGAAACATTCCAACTCAAGACCAAGCACAGTGCGGCAGGCCTATAATCCCCCCAATTGAGAGGTAGAGGCCAGGGGATCAGGGCTTCAAAATTAGCATCATCTATATAGAGGTTTAGAAGTCAGCCTGGGCTACATGAGACCCTGTCTCAAAAAGACAAGAAACTGGGCTGGTGAGATGGCTCAGTGGGTAAAGGTGTTTGCCACCATGCCTGATGACCTGAGTTTGATCCCTAGGATCCACAGAGTGGAAGGAAGGAAGCAGATGGGGCTGGAGAGATGGCTCAGTGGTAAACAGCACTGGCTGCTCTTCCAGAGGACCTGGGTTCAATTTCCAGAACCCACATGGTGGCTCATAATATCTATAACTCCAGTTCTAGAGCACCTGACAGCTTCTTCCAGCTTCCTCAGGCACTGCATGTAAGTGGTGCATGTACATAGAGGCAAAATACCTGTACATATAAAATAAAAATTAAAAACCAAAAATTAAGCAACATAAAAAACAACAAAACCACCACCACAAAACATTTGAGAAAAGCATGGAATGAAGAATCCCAGAACTAAGAGCTAGGTATGGGATCGAATGCCTGTAATCCCTGTACTTGGAAGAAGCAGGAGGCTTAGAAATTTAAGGCCAGCCTCTGCTGCAGAATGAGTCCAAGGCCAGCCTGTGCTATCCTAGTAAGTTTAGAACTAAATTTGCCCGCCTCAAAACAAAAACTCAACAAAGTAAAACAACACAACACAGAATCCTCCTAGTTACAGACAACTTCTGGCTCAACGTAACACTCTTCTGCACCTATCTCTCCAATATACCTGGTGTCTCTGCAAGTGTGGTAGCTAATCTTGACTACATCTGGAATCAACTAAACCCAAGCTTCTAGGCACTGCTGTGAGGAATTTTATTAATCACATTATTAGGAAGACCCACCCCAAATCTGGCAGCTCACATAAAAGGACACAGGAGGAAACCTTGCTTTTTGCCTGCTTGCCCTCACTCTCTACGGCAAATTCATCTATCCTATTGCTGTAGCTGGTATTAAATCCAACTTCTTCAGGATTCCAGTGCAGACTGAAGACCAGCAGCTATATTCAGGAACCTTCTGGGACTGCAGTGCCAGACAGGAACTGCAGAGAGATCCAGCCTTGTGGACTGAACAACTAACAGAGTCTCAGCTTTCCGTTGTGAGACAGCTGTTGGACTATGTGAACCACATCCTGAGAGCCAGTCTAATCTATTTTTAATATGTATATTCACTCCGTCAGTTCTGTGCCTTTAGAGAATCCTGACTAGTACAGCAGGTAAGATTTCACATAAATAGGAAGGCAGGTAGTCCATACATTGTGATTAGCTAGCACTATTTTTTTTTAAAAAGATCTTGTTTGATACATAAGGCATTTTCACTTTTCAAAAACCTTTTTTTTGGGGGCCTGGAGAGATAGCTCAGTGGTTAAGAGCACTGGCTGCTCTTCCAGAGGTCCTGAGTTCAATTCCTGGCAACCACAAGGTGGCTCACAACCATCTGTAATGAGATCTGGATCTGGTGCCCTCTTCTGGCCTGCAGGCATACATGCAAACAGAGCACTCATACCTAAAAAGATACATACATTAAAAAAACAAAACAAAACAAAACCTTTTTTCTCTTTTTAAAAAAGTTTTTATGTGTACAGGTGGTTTACCAACATCTATGTCTGTGCACCACATGCATGCCTGTTGACTGCAGAAGTCAGAAGAGGGTGTAAGATCCTGAGACTGGGAGTTACTACTGATGGTTGTGAGCAGCCCTGTGGGTGCTGGGAATCAAACTGGGTCCTCTGAAGAAGCAGCCAGTGCTCTTAACCACTGAGCCAACTCTCCAGTCCCAATGTTTTTTTGTTTGTTTGTTTTTCGAGACAGAGTTTCTCTGTGTAGCTTTGCGCCTTTTCCTGGAACTCACTTGGTAGCCCAGGCTGGCCTCGAACTCACAGAGATCCGCCTGGCTCTGCCTCCCGAGTGCTGGGATTAAAGGCGTGCGCCACCACCGCCCGGCCCAATGTTTTGTTTTAAAGACAGTCTCCTATAGCAAATCTAGCCTTAAATTCTCTCCCTATTGGAGGATAACCTTGAACTCCTAATCCTCCTGCCTCCACGTCCTGACTGCTGGGATGACAAACATGAAAGCTGACTTTCCTTTTTCATTCAAGGTCATGAACAACTTTCTAGCTCTGAGGGCTAAATCAAATGAGCACTAACTTACCATAACTTACTAAACCAGACCTGTTTCCATAGTCATTTAAATAGTTTCTAACCTTTTGGAAAGAATTCTGAAAGCCAGGTATAATGGCACACATCTGTCATCCCAGCACTTGGGAGACTAAAGCTGGAGGATTGCCGAGAGTTTGAGACCAGCCTGGGCTATATACTGAATTCCAGAATAAGATGCTATCTCTAAAAAAGGAGAGTTTTTATTCCTTTGTAAAGTGATCTTTCAAAATTTTCAATTTTATTTATCATCATTAGTGTGTTGGGGAGGTAGAGGCACATACCCCTGTGACACAGCTTGTATGCAGAGGTGAGAGGACAACTTTGTGTATTTGGTTCTCTCTCCCATCTTTTATGTGGGTCCAAGGGATTGGACTCAGGTCACCAGGCTTGTGAGGCAAGAGTTTTCTTTACTCACTAAGCCATTTTACTGGCCCACAAAATGCTATCTTTTGAAGAAATTCCCCTAAGTGGAGTTTCTGGTCCATGAGTACAATTATTTCAATGACGATTGTCCAGGCTTTCCTGTGGAGGAGGTAAAAGCCAAGACGACTCAACTTTTTACCATAAAAAAAAAACAATAGAAGTGGGGGTGCTGCTGGGTGGTGGTGGCGCACGCCTTTAATCCCAGCACTCAGGAGGCAGAGCCAGGTGGATCTCTGTGAGTTCGAGGCCAGCCTGGTCTACAGAGCGAGATCCAGGACAGGTACCAAAGCTACACAAGGAAACCCTGCCTCGAAAAACCAAAAAAAAAAAAAAAAAAAAAAAAAAAGAAGTGGGTGCTGGTGGTGTAGCTCAGTGACAATAAAGCACATAAATAGTACACACGACCCTGAATTCAATCCCTAGTGCCAAAGGGGGTGGGGTTAGGTTAAAGAATGTCCAGTGAGAGAGATCAGAGATCCCTGGGACCCACATGGTAGAAGAGAATCAACTCCCTGCATGTTATACTATGATCTCCACATGTGCTGTGATGTGTATATGCACATACACACACACACACAAAATAAATGCAACAAAATTTTTCACAAAAAAGTAGTTTAAAACCAAAAATGCGCCTTGAATCCCAGCACTTGGGAGGCACAGACAGGTAGATATCTAAGTTCTGAGCAAGCTGGAGCTATGCTATAATACCCTGTCTCAAAAACAAGGTGGTGGGGGAAGTGCTAGAGAGTTGGCTCAGCAGTTAATACTGTTTTTCCAAAAGACCTGGGTTTGAGTCCAAACACCCATATAAAGGCTCATAGTTACCTGCAACTTCAGTTCCAGGGGACCCTACACCTTCTTCTGGCCTCCAACGCATGAGGCATACATGTAGCACACAGACATATATGCAGGCATTAATGCCTACATAGATAAAAATAAACAAAAGTGAAAACTATTGATCATAGTGAAAATATGGATTCATGAAGTCATGTGCCATGCACTGAGCTTTGATCAAGCTGGCCTTTGCTCTCTGAGAAAATACAGGTAAGTAAGCATAACATTAGAATCTTAGGCCTTTCAGTGTGCAATGGGGATAAAAGCACTAGCTACACTATAGTCATCCTGGGAGCTTCAAAAGATAGAGTATGGGGACTTTCTTTCTGAAACTGTTCTCTGCAACATCACTGCTTGTGGTGATATTTTGTTTGTTCTCTAACAAAGCTTGCCTCAAGATCAGAGGGTGGAGCTAGCCATTAGTTAACCATAGAGGTCTGGAGGTCTGTACAGACAGACAGGAAGTGATATGGCTGGGTGGAGAGAATATAAGGCGGTGGAGACAGGAGCTTGGCCCTTTTCAGTAGGAGGATTTGGAGAGGTAAGAGGTGACTCTGGCTGCTGCTTTACTTCTCTGATCTTTCAGCATTTACCCTGCTATCTGACTCCGGGTTTTTATTATTAAGACCAATTAGAATTCTCTAGCAATTCTGGCACCCAACGTGGGGCATGAATTCACGAAAAAGCCACTTGCCTGTGGCTTTGCAGTCACCTGCACAGGTAGAAGCTGCATGTGGCCAGAGTCACTACCCTGCCAGCTAGGTTTTCCTTTCTTTTTTCCCTAAGCCTCTGAGCAAGTGATTTTTTTTTTCTGTTGCAGCCTCTCTGCAACAAACTCCACAGGTGCATGGGCTCAATATGATTCCAGAGTTAGCCCCTCAACACCAAGCAGCTCTGCTTTTAGGCAGTTCTTGCTGCACGTGTTTCTTCCCCACAATTCCGTGTGCATTTTTCAGACAGCAGGTTGCCTCTCCTGGTGGGTTGTGGGCTTTCCCTGGACCTCCTCTTTGGGCTGCTGCCATACTAGGTAGCTGCCATGACACCTACTCAGGCTTCTACTGTTCTATGAAGCAGCACTCAGCCTCATACTTCACTGTCATCTGAATCATCATCTTTGGCAGATTTGGTGAGACAACTGGGAATTCTTAAAGGGTAGAATTAGTTAAATCAGAGTTTTTTCCCACAATAAAAATGGGAATTAGGTGTATGATAATATGCTGGACAGTTTGAAAATGGAACAATTAAATAAGAGGATAATTAATTTAGATGAGACTTATGCAACGTCAATTATAAACATTATTGGTTTAATCATTTTTGTTTTATCACTAAAAAAGTTGGTTAATATGAGTGCCAAGATGTAAGTTTTAGAAAAACTTATCAAAACAGATCATAGAGGTATTCAGACCCAGACAGAGGGATTTAAAGGAGAACCAATCTCTGAGTTGGATTATAAGGTTAGAGAGGAACAGCCTAAGGTTTTCAAACAGCCAAACTTAATTTATCTGGTAACCTTACAGGAACTGCCAAATGATAGATATCCTCAAGGCTGAGTATGAGCTGAATGGATTCCTGTGGAAATGTTAGATTTAAGGAGATCTAAGGAAGCGATAGTCTTACATGGCATACATTCACCTTTTGTAAAGCAGATGTTAAACTCATGATCAACTTGTAATAGAATTATCCCTCAAGACTGGAGAGACTTGGTTGTTGGAGCTCACTAGGTTTCGTAGTGGCCGTACCCAGCAGGACTGCTCAAGAGGTTGACTGGACCACGGGCCTGGGTACCAGGTGACTGTAACTAGAAAGAGGGAGGTCTTTTGCCCCACCCCTTGACATTGTTATAAATAGACCTTTGGAATAAAGTTCTGGACCTGTGGATAAGGATCGAGACCCACCCATTTCTCTTCTCTGTATTTCTAACTAAGTCTCTTATCCCTCATTCCTCAAGAGTCCTGGGGTAAATAAGTGTGGGAGATGGTCTTCTACAGATGGTGCCACGAACAGGGACCAGGGACTTGGCGAAAGGATTGCAGGGGGCGTTGCGAGTGTAGGCATGCTGATAATGAATTGAAAAATGAAGACAATGGTATTTTATTCTCAGGTGTATAGGGAGGCAGTGAAGGAAATATCTCAAGGCTGCAGTGTTAGACTCCTCTCTATAGATCAATTTCTCTGTCTCTGTCTCTTTTCTATCTATAAAAGATAAGGTTTATAAAGTAGACCTATAGATAAAGTAGTCCTATCTAAGGTAGTCCTATAATAAGCTTGTAAGAAATAGTTGTAAATGTAAGTTTAAATAAGAATAAGGTAGTCTATTAGGCAGTCTTAGTCCTATAGAATGTAGGCTTAAATAGGTCATAGATTTAGGATAAACTAGTCAGAGAAATGTAGGCTTAGAATATATAGGCCTTAGGTTTAAGGATACGGTGAAAAAAGTAACTTAAGAGTAGGTTTTTCCAACCTGGAAGCGGAGAGCAATGTCCATGGTAGACTATGGACTTGGCAGTTCCAGAAAGCCACCAATAACAACAAGAAACAGTTCCAGAGACGGCCAGCTTCAGAAAATAGCAGCCAGAGGGTCTCGGAAGCTGAAACCCTCAAGGCATCAATGCCGTGCGGGTGGCAGATGCACGAGGGTCTACAAGCTTTCTACTGAAAGAAAGCCACAGTGAAAAATGAACAAGCTAAGCCACAAGAGAGGCTGAGGACAAGCAGCAGTTTGGAAATCCCTGCAGAGATCCTGCACTGCGGGAAAGGTGAACAGCAAGATTCTGCAACCTTTGGGATGCTATACCGCGAGAAAGGCAAACGGCAGAGAAAGCCCAGCGGTTTGCGTCACCTCGGGAAAGATGAACAGTGAGTAGAACAACAATAAACAGTAGAGACGGCAGAGACCAGACTGCTTCCAGGACCAGAGAAGCAGTGTCAGTGCCAGACAAACAGCTGAGACAAGATGGAACTGCTGAGTGCTCCAAGTTAAACAGCCAGCCTGAGACTCTGTGGGAACTGCTGAGACTGATGGCAGGCCGAGTTTCCAGCAGCGAGGCAGCCATGCAACAGGACAGCGTACGGAGGATTCCGGGGACCCAGTTTGCTGAGCACTTGGACCGTCAATGGTGCAGGTAATGGGTTTTCCTCCCACAGCTGGGGTTGCCATGGGAAGGCCACAGTTTCAGCTCATGGCAGCTGAAGGAGCCTTGAGCCGGTGTGGCTATGAGGTGAAGCTCTCTAGCCTGGCCCAGGACTGGTTCCGGAAGGCTACAGACTGCAAAGCAGAGCAGTAGCTGAAAGTGAAAGTTTCAAAGAGACTTGCTTGAACTGAAAAGTCTTGGTTATGGAACTTTTCGTATTTGGAACTGTTTGCTTCAGAGTCATTACGACTTTGACAGCTATACACAGATTTAAGAGCAGCTGACAAGCCAGGCCCTGACTATGAGCACTCAAAGGAACTTTTAGGAACAGCACCAAAACTCTTTTTGAATTTTTTTTTTTTTTTTGGTTTTTCGAGACAGGGTTTCTCTGTGTAGCTTTGCGCCTTTCCTGGAACTCACTTGGTAGTCCAGGCTGGCCTCGAACTCACAGAGATCCGCCTGGCTCTGCCTCCCGAGTGCTGGGATTAAAGGCGTGCGCCACCACCGCCCGGCTGAATTTTTGAACTTAAAAAATAAAATGGACAGTAATGATTTCATTACAATGGGACAGTTTGAATTTACATATGCATATAGACTCTATCAACAATGATGACTTACGAACTGCTTATGGAACTGTTATGTAAAAATGGAACTGTTTAAATAGGGAAGTTTTTTTTTTAAAGAAAAGGGGGAGTGTTAATATTCCTCAGTATATTTAATTAAAAAAAAATTTTCGTGTTGAGTGAATTAATATTATGCTTTGTATATTTCTAAATTGTAAGTTGAGAGTAGGCTTGTAGGTTGAGATTAGGTTGGCAGGTTGAGAGTAGGCTTGTAGAAATTATCAATGTTAACCATGGTTTGGTGAAGTTAAGAAAGTATTTAAGTTTAAGATATATACATCAGAAGTTTACCCTATGTTTTGTTAGCAAGAAATATTAAGAATTTGCTTTAAGATGTAAGACTGAGAAAATCGTAACTATGCATAGCAATATTTATATTAGAATTATGTTAACCTGTTAGTCTTTAAGTTTGATGTGGTTGCATCAAAAGTTTTTTCTTTTAAAATATAAAGAAGAGGGACTGGGACGTGGTGGCACATGCCTTTAATCCCAGCACTCAGGAGGCAGAGGCAGGTGGATCTCTGAGAGTTCGAGGCCAGCTTGGGCAACAGAGTGAGTTCCAGGAAAGGCACAAAGCTACACAGAGAAACCCTGTCTCGAAAAACAAAAAACAAAAAACAAAAAAAAAGAGGAACCTATTAGAGCCCACTAGGTTTCCTAGTGGCTGTACCCAGCAGGATTGCATAAGAGGTTGTTTGGATCATGGGCTTGGGTACCAGGTAACTGTAACTAGCAAGAGGGAGGACTTTTGCTCCACCTCTTGGCATTGTTAAAAATAGACCTTTGGGCCGGGCGGTGGTGGCGCACGCCTTTAATCCCAGCACTCGGGAGGCAGAGCCAGGCGGATCTCTGTGAGTTCGAGGCCAGCTTGGGCTACCAAGTGAGCTCCAGGAAGAGGCGCAAAGCTACACAGAGAAACCCTGTCTCAAAAAAAACCAAAACAAAACAAAACAAAAACAAAAAACAGTAACAAAAGAATAAAGAAAAAGAATTCAGCTAAAGAGAAAGTCCTATGAACAGAGATGTACTATGAGAGGAGAAAAGTGTTACCTATACAGGGTATTTACAGGGTACTCACAGCTGATAAAGCCAAAATCTGCTGTTGAATTGTTTCTTCATCGTGACTATCAACCCATGGCGGCACAGCGGCTTCTATACAGGAGGGAAAAAAAGGTTATTGGGGCTGGAGAGATGGCTCAGTCGTTAACAGCACTTGCTGCTATTGCAGAGTACCTGGGTTCAGTTCCCAGAACCCACATGGCAGCTTAAAACTGCCTATTAATTCCAGTTCTAGGGGATCTGACACCCTCTGGCCTCTGAAGGCACTACATGGTTACAACAGTTATACCGTAATCTGTCATTAAAAAACAAAAAGGAAGGTTTTTACAAAACCACTTAAAATATGACTATTCACTATAATACCAGACTTAATTTGTAAGCTTTATGCATGTATGTATTTGGTCAACAAATACTCCACTTGAATGATACAGTATAGAAATCTGACAACAATTTAATTAGATAATCAAAATCAGTATCACTGGGCACACAAAATGGCTCAGTGGGTAAAGGTGCTTACACACAAGACTGAAGACCTGAATTCTATGTCTGGGACTACATGGTGGAAGAGTCCTTTGGCCTCCACATGTGCAAAGTGACACACATTGTCACAAAGAGTAGGGGAGAAACACACTGTGGATCACTGAACATGTTATTTCAAGAACAGAACATCAAGAATATACAATCCTATTCTAATCATGAGAAAGTATCAGATAAAGTTCAAATATACAAAAGTCTATTAAGAGGGGAACAGTCCATCCTCATCACTTGGAGGTAGAGTCAGGAAGACCAGGAATTCAAGGACAACTTCATACTATATAGCAAATATGATGTCAGTCAGGACTGTCTAAGACCCTATCTCAAAAAAAAAAAAAAAAAAGACAAACGTTGTTAGAACATTCCAGACTCAAGGAGGCTAAGAGAAATGACAGATATATATATAATGTCATATCTTCAACTAGTTTTTGGACTTAACTAGATTCTGGGGGGAAATGTTATAAAGGACATCATTGCATCAAGTAGCACGATGAATAGGTGTTAGATTTGTGTATTATGTCTCTAGGCATGGTGGTGCATGCTTGTCATCTTGGCACTTGGGAGGCTGAGGCAAATAACTGCTTCAAGTTCTAAGCAGCCTAGGCTATAGTGTGAGATGCTGTTAAAAAATCTGGGCATGAGCTGGGCGGTGGTGGCACACACCTTTAATCCCAGCACTCGGGAGGCAGAGCCAGGCGGATCTCTGTGAGTTCGAGGCCAGCCTGGTCTACAAAGTGAGTTCCAGGAAAGGCGCAAAGCTACACAGAGAAACCCTGTCTCAAAAAACCAAAAAAAAAAAAAAAATCTGGGCATGGTGATCCACTTTAATTCTAGCACTTGGGAGACAGAGGCAGGCAGTTCTCTGTGCACAACTCTTAACAGTTCAAAGCTATCCTGGACTACACAGCAAGTTCCAGGCCAGCCAGGGTCACATAGTACAACCCTGTCTCAAAAATAAAAATAACAATAAAAATAAAAAGCTGGAGAGATGGCTCAGAAGTTAAGACTGCACGACAAAGTGTAAAGATGGCTCAGAAGTTAAGAGCACTTGCTACTCTTCTGGGAGGATCCAGGTTCAATTCCCAGTACATATGTAGTGGTTCACAACTTTCTGAAATTCCAGTTCCAGGGGGATCTGATACCTTCTTCTGACCTCCTCAGGTGCCATACTACTCTTGTAGAGGCCCCAGAGTCAGTTCCTAGCATCCATTGTCAGGTGGCTCACATCTACCTGCCACTCCAGATCTAAGGAACATGCCCCTATCACACATACACATAATTAACAATAAAATAAATAGAAAGGGCTACTGAGACGGCTCAGCTGTTCAAAGCACTTGCTGCGAAACTGATGCTATGAGTTCGATCTTTGGAACCCAAGTGGCAGAAGGGTAGAAAACACTCCTGGAAGTTGTCCTCTGCCACACACAGGCCAGAAGTAAATAAAGGTAATAAAAATTAAGGGGGAAGGGAGACACAATGAACCTTAAGTGAAACCAAAGTAAAAGACAAATTAGAGGCAATAAATGATAAGGCTGGAGTCAAATTGTTAATGAACAGTTAGAAGCTGAATGCAGAAGATACCAAGATGACATACACTTATCTAGATATGATTAGGAAGGGTATCCAGGACTCCACTCAAGCACCCATCTGCTCTTTATAGTGGATTCTAACTGCACTAACCCCTAACACATGTCAGACCCAAAGCAATCCATTCTAAAGTAAAGAGACAGTTCCACATTTGCCTCATACACAGTGATGAGGTGATGGTCACATTAGTGTTAGGCTGGGGATATAGCAGCTCAGTTGGTAGAATGCTTGCTCAGCATGCATGAGACCCTAGGTTCCATTCCCTGCACTGTACAAACCTAGTATTGTGATACCTATAATGCCACCACTTGGGAGGCAGAGGGAGGAGGGATGAAATTCAAGGTCCTTGTTGACTATACAGCAAGTTAGAGGTCAGTCTTGGCTATGTGAAGCCCCGTCTCAAAAACAAACCAATGAAAATCAGTTGGTATCAACGTTAAAATGGCTTTTTGCAAAGACCTGTCAACACTGGGATCATTATCTGAAATGTAGAGGCTAGAAGTCTTACCCCTTTCAAGCTGCTGCCCTAGCTAAGAAGATGAAAGAATCTGACAACATAGGCTATTTGTTGCTGGTGATAGTGTTTTATTTCTTGATTGGTTTTGAGACTGTATTTCATTTAACCCAGGTTGGCCTCCAGCTTACTATGTAGCTGAGGTTGGCTTAAACTCTTGATCTTTCTACCTTTGCCTCTCAAACACTGGAAGTTACAGGTCCCAGCTAGGTTTTTATTTGTTTTGATTTTTGTTTTTAGATTAGGTCTTGCTAATCTAGCTCTCAAACTCCTGGCAATCCTTTTGCCTTAGCTTCTTGGGCACTGGAATCACAGGTGTGCACCACCAGGCCTGGCTTGGCTTTGGTCTTTTTGATTGACCCTCTTCTCTATCATGCTCAGTAAAAGACTGAATGTGTGTGTATTTGTGTGTGTTTTTGTGTGTGTGTGTGTGTGTGTGTGTGTGTGTGTGTATTTGTGTGTGTTTGTGTGTGTTTGTGTGTGTGTGTGTGTGTGTGTGTGTGTGTGTGTGTGTGTGTGTGTGTGTGTGTTTGTATTTTTCTTTTTTGAGATAGGGTCTCTCTACATAGACCTGGCTGTTCTGGAACTCACTATGTAAACGAGGCTGGCCTCGAACTCTCAGCAATTGACCTTTCTCTGCTTCCCAAGTGCTGGGATCAAAAGGTATGCACTACCACATTCGACTATTTTTTAATTTAAAAAGTTTTTTTTTCCAATTTGTAGCCCAGGCTGGCCTGGATTTACTATGTAGCTCAGGCTGGGAGTTCAGCCTCAAACTCATAGCAATTCTCCTGCTTTAGCTTCCCAAGTGCTGAAATTACAGCCACTATGCCTAGCTGTACATATAAACTGTATACACTATGCATATGCTCTACCATTGGGCCCCATCCCAGTATTAGATGTTTTTTTTATTACTAGAGCCTTAGTATAGGTTCAGCACATAATAAACACTCAATACAACCTGATAGGGAAGCTGGGGTTGTAGCTCTGCAGCAGTGCTTGCCTAGTATACCTAGCATGTATGTACAAGGACCAGGGGTTGATCCCTAGCACCACAAACCGACACACACACACACACACACACACACACACACACACACACACACACACACACACACACATACACCTTGACTGAGAAACTAAGACAAACCTATATCATACCTGACTTCTTTGTGTGTTGTTCTTCAACAAATTTTTTCTGTTCTTTTTGAAAATCCCCTATAATGGTCTGTTAGAAAAAACACATGAAAAGTCAAATTACTTTGAAGTTTACTATTAGGTAAGAATTACAGTCAAGCTACATGGGCACATGTATGAAATTGTCCAAGAATCAAGAAAAGATATTCTAAAAAAGTTCCATCAGGATACTATATTTTACTTGAATTAATGAGATTACACTAGCTACTTACAACTTTCATAAATTCCTCCTTTTACAAGTTTTCTAAATATACCTTATCAATGATGTCATCTATTTTTCCTTCTTCCACAGATTTCTTTATTGTCTGAGCTGTTTCAGTAACAGATTCTGTTATCTTCTTTGTGGCAGCACTCGCAAAGTTAAACAAATAATCTGTAAATGAAAAAAAAGGTCTGTACTTCATTCAAATACAATGGTTATCACACCTTCCCATCAGTATCTGCAGAGAGTTCTGCTCAAGGACCTTCTTGGATACCAAAATCAAACCAACTCTAGCTGGGAGACGGAGGTGGGGATTCAGGTGCAAGTTGGCAAGTTGAACAAACCGAATTGTTTGTCAAAACCCCGAAAACGGTGGCACACTGCTCGCTTTACCGCGCCTGGGCTTTCCACATGGAAAGCGACAGGTTCTTAGGGACATCCAGGACCCGACTAGATGGCTTGGTGAAGCTTTAGCGTCGCCCATGTCCCGGAGGACCGCCCCCCTCTCACCCACCTGCATCCCCGCGTCCCCTTCCAGCCCGCCCTCGCGACCCGGAGGGGACTCACTTCCAAGGCCTCTGGCCTGGTGTAGGAGCTCTGGGTCCTCTGCCGGCTGCTGCTCGTCTTGGGTGGGTTGCTCGGGGTGCTCCTCAGGAGGCGCGTCTCCGGCAGACAGCTCGTCCCCGCTGGGCGGCTCTCCGACCGCCGCCGCCCCCTCGGGCTGCTTCAGGCCCAACCAACTGCTCAATCCTCGGAACATCCCGCCCGAGGGGTCGCCGCCGCCGCCGCCGCCGCCGCCGCCGCCACGGTCTCCTCACCCAAAAGCGCTAACTGCCTTGCAACCTGACACCGCGGGTCTTCGAGGGCGACCGACCGGCCGGAAGCCTGGGCGACACTGCCGGTGCCAGTCCGCCCTGACCCTACCCTCTATTATGGCTCCTCAGCTGACTGCGCATGCGTCACATCCGGACCGAGCTCCGCCCATTCTGGCGTCGGGCGGGTGCGCGTGGAAAAGGGGCAAAAGGCTAAAGGGCTTTCCCAGCGGAGCCCCGCCCCGTCTATGCCCTTTTTACTCTTTCCCCAGCTTTATGAGCATTTGGACAGCATCTTTTTGGGCTTGTCCTACCGGGTCTCATTTTGTGATTGCCTCGAAGTGACAGCCTTGCCTTTACAGCTCCAGCTAGACTATGTTACAGCCCTCACTCCCCCCCCACCCCGCCCCTTGGAAATGGAAAAGTCACCTCCTGAGCCTAAGTAACCCAAGCTGAGGGCAGTGGCTCATACCCGAAGTCCCAGCATTTGGGAACTGGAGGAAGGAGAATCAAGAGTTCAAGGCTAGCCTTAAGTACATAGTGATTTAGGCTAATCTGAGCTACATAAGACCTTGTGTTAAAAGCACAACAACATTAAAAAAAAAAACCTAGGGGCTGGAGAGATGGCTCAGAGGTTAAGAGCACTGACTGCTCTTCCAGAGGTCCTGAGTTCAATTCCCAGCAACCACATGGTGGCTCACAACCATCTGTGACAAGATCTGATGCCCTTTTCTGGCCTGTAGTCATACATGCTGTATACATAATAAATAAATAAATCTTAAAAAAAAAAACCTAAAGAAGAAAAGAAAAAAATTGCAAGCAAGAAGTTGGGGTGGAGTACGTATAGATTAAAAATGGTTTACAGTGGCTAGGTGAGATGGCTTAGCAGGTAAAGGTACTTACCACCAAGCTTGTCAACCTGAGTTTGATTCCTGGTACCTATGTGATGAGAGAACTCACTCTTAAAGGTTGTCTGTCCTCTGACCTCCACACATGCTCTGTGGCTACCCACACAAAAATTACAATTGAAAATATTTTCCACAGTAGCTTAGAGAACTGGGACTATAACTCAGTGGTAGAGTGGCAAAACACATGCCCAGCACAGCAAAATGTGAACATACATGCACACAAAGAAACTTAGCTGAACATAGTGGTACATACCTGTATTCTCAGCACTCAGAAAGCTGCGGCAGGAGGATCTTGAGTTCAACACCAGCCAGAGCTACATGAGACCCTTCTCCAAAACACAAAAATGAGTGAAACAGAATATAAAACGCCGATTGATTACATGGCTCATAGGTAAAGGTGCCTGCCACCTTGCCTTGACCTGGGACTCACATGGTAGAAGAACCTATTCCTGTAACTTGTCCTCTCATTGCCACACCTGTACCATAATATGTATTGTGTTTGCCTCACACCCCCATACAGTAAATAAAATGTAATAAAGATTAAAAGAAAAGAAAAGAAAACATTTGGATATTTCTGCTTTCTTTTTTTTTAAAGACAGGGTCTCAAGGCCTGTTGTGGTGAGATCTTTAAGTACAGGGGCAGAGGCAGGCAGATCTCTGTGAGTTTGAGACCGGTCTTGTCTATATAGGACATCCAGGGTTACACAGTAAGTTGGTTTTTTCTTTTTTCATTGCTGTTTTTTAAAGATAGGGTCTCAAGTGACCCAGTCTGGCATTGTCTTGAACTCTCTGCCACACTCACCAAGCCCCCCCCCCCCCCGTTTTCTTTGTTTTGTTTTGTTTTTCAAGACAGGGTTTCTCTGTGGAACTCTGGCTGACCTAGAATTTGCTCTGTAGACCAGGCTGGCCTCAAACTCACAGAGATCCACCTGCTTCTGCCTCCCAAGTGCTGGGATAAAGGTGTGCACCAGCACCTCCAGGCTCCTCACCAAGCCTTTCTTATCTGGTTCTGGGAATCAAACTCAGTGCCTTCTTTATGCTAAGTATGTATTCTACCAACTGAGCTACACGCCCACACTCTACAATTGTGCATTTTATTTGGATACTAATTCAGCAAACACACTTAAAAAGAGTATGATACTTATATAGATGGCAATTTGGAGCTTAAGGAGCTAATGAGATCAAAGAATTGTGAGATTCTATTTAAATTGTAGTCAAAATTCAAAATTTCCCATCAACCATTTTGAAGTCAGCAATTCAGCAGGGTTAAAGCACATTCACGTTACTTTGCAACCAGTCTCCACGATTTTCCATCTTGCAAGCTAAAATTCTTATACAACTTCCATTCTCTTCATGTAAACCTCTGCAAGCAGGAAGGAGGCCCTAGGTTCAAACCCCAGTACATGGAGTATGGGAAATTGGTGTAATCATACAACATTTGTCTTTCCTTATTGCTTTTCTTTCTTTTTTTTGATACAGAATTTCTCCGTGTAGTCCTGGCTGTCCTGGAACTCACTCTGTAGACCAGACTGGCCTCGAACTCACAGAGATCCGCCTGCCTCTGCTTCCCAAGTGCTGGGATTAAAGGCGTGTGCCATCAGTAATGGTATTATTATGTGGCTGTGGGTATAGGTTTCCGAAGAAGTTCTTTTATTTTAGAGAGTCATATTGCAATATTGGAGGACAAAATGAAAACATGATCAGAGATTGCTTCAAATTAATACCAGAAGCTCTGGAGAGATGGCTTAGTAGTTAAGAGCACTGACTACTCCTACAAAGAACCCAGGTTCGATTCCTAGCACACATGTGGTAGTAGCTCACGACTATCTGTAATTTCAGTCTCAGGGGATCTGATACCCTCTTCTGGCCCCCACAGGTACCTGGCAGGTATGTGATACACAGAAAGGCAGGTAAAACACACATATACCTAGAAATAAAATAAATCTTTTAAAAAATTACTACCAGAAGTGGGGAAATAGTTGGGGATATAAATGAACAAACCTGTCCTTGGGTTTGTAATTGTTGATGCTGACTGATTTTAATTTTATATCTACTTTTTTTCCGAGACAGGGTCTCACTATGTAGCTCTGGTTGTCTTGAAACTCACTATATAGACCAAGGTGACCTCAAGCTCACAAAGATCCACCTGTCTCTGCCTCCCTAGTGTTGGGGTTAAAGGTGTGTGCCACTATACCTGGCTTATGTTTACTTTTTTATGTTCTTGTTTTTTCTGTAACAAATCAAACAAGGAAAACTGGCAAGGAATTGATAAACATATTTCCCAAGTTCAAACTCTAGACATTTGGTGTAGAATGATGCCCATGTGTGGAATATTCCTTTACACTGTGTGAATATGTGCCATTGTGATTGGGTTAATAAAGAAGCTGACTGGCCAATAGCTGGACAGGTAGAGGTTATGAGGAACTTGCAAAATAAGAGAGTGAAAAGAAGGAGAGGAGAGATCTCTCAGAACCGAGAGGAGACAGAGAGAAAGAGATGAACTTGTAGTGAAAAAAGGTATTGAGCCATGTTGCAGAGTGTAGATAAGAAATATGGGTTAATTTAAAATGTAAGAGTTAGCTAGTAACAACTCTGAGCTATTGGCTGAGCATTTATAATTAATAATAAGTCTCAGTCTGGTTATTTAGAAGAGGCTGCTGGGACACAGAGAAACTCTGTCTACATATGGTGCCCAAACAACTGGCACCTACATCCACATAAGACCGGAGAGCTTAAAAAAGATTCTAAGCACACAAAAATAGAGCCAAACATCAGCTTCCTGATAACCATTTTTTGATGGGTGATATCACTTTGTATGCTGTGAATGTGTTGCTCTGATTGGTTGATAAATAAAATGCTGATTGGCCAGTAGCCAGGCAGGAAGTATAGGTGGGATAAGTAGACAAGGAGAATTCTGGGAAGAGGAAGGCTGAGTCAGGAGATGCCAGACTGCCATCCAGGGAGCAGCATGTAACATAACAGCACACAGGTAAAGTCACAGAAAATGTGGCGACATATAGATAAACAGAAATGGGCTGAGTTTAAATGTAAGAGCTAGTCAGAAGTTAGCCTGAGCTAATGGCTGGGCAGTTATGATTAATATAAGCCTCTATGTGTTTTCTTGGGTCTGAGTGTCTGTGGACTGGGTGGGACATAGGAAAACTTTCAGCTACAATCTTTTCTTGGGTAGGCTCAATACTAGTGACAAACAGAGGCACAGCTCCTTTAAGAGGCAGCTTCCTTGGCTCAGTGCTAGTGTTAAACACAGGCATGGCTCTTCTACCAAATACTTAAATGGGGTTTATGAGCAGCAGAAGGTGTGCTACACAGTGACAACATGAACCCAACAACTTCCCAGAGCTGCAGCAGTAAACATGGCTCCCATCAGTACCTCCACCATGAGGCTAAGCCCTCAGGGAACCAAGTGGGGAGGAGCCAGCCACCAATCACCATGTGCTACCACTATACACTAAGTTTCATAGTGCCTGCAGCTGACATAGCAGTTTAAGATTTATCTCATTCAATCAGAGAACAATATGGATGCTCAGTAAAGACAAATCCAGATGAAAAAAAACCTCTAAATGGGTTACAGTGTGTTTAAAAATATATGTAGGCTTGGGAGAGAGAAGAGATAAGGTATATGCAGTCAAATAATAGTTAAACTATTAAAAATAATTTAAAACTAATGAAGTCCTTAAAAAGAAAGTAATAAAAAATATAATAAGCCATACAAAGATGGGAAATACACAGAGAGGCTGGATTTTGTATGTTATTGTGTTGTCTTTAGATTTTCTGATTGCTAATGAAGGAACAACAGCTGCTAAGACACATTGGATTATGAAATCTGCTTTATTAAACCAACCTTTATATTTTAAAGATGTCTTGACTTCAAAATGGAAGTCAAAGATATGCTACTTTGGGGAAAATGTTATACTTTTATTTCCACAGGAGATGAGAGACTGTGAATTCATTCCAGGTTGATAGAGATCAGGTTTGATTGGAGAAGACTCCCTTGAAAATCCTGGCTACAGACATAAAGAAACAAACCTAGAAAAACTACAAAAATGTAATATATATTTCACCTGCTCAAACATAAAACAAAGAATCATCTTTGGCTAACTTGTGTACACACAGTCTGTACTTGTATTAATACAAAAATGTATGTTATCTTTAAACGTTTATGTATTTGTAGAACAAGGGTACCAGACACCAATAAAAATGGATGGC